TATCAAGCTATAATAAAAGTAGGTACATACCCTCTTATCAAAGCTGGATGAGGCTGCCCAGTGGGAGGAAAAGAGATCCAAGAGCAGGCAAAAGAGTCAGAGACAGTCTCCGCTCCTGCTGTTAGGAGTCCTGCAAGAACACCAAGCTGCACAACCATAACATATATGCAGACTGCCTAGGTCTATGGCAGTTCAGTCTCTGATTTGGGAGTGATTTCTTTCTAATCTGTTGCTTTTATTGGTTAATTAATAAAGAAACTGCCTTGGCTCATTTGATAGGCCAACCCTTAGGTGGGCGGAGTAAACAGAACAGAATGCTGGGAGAAGGAAAGCCAAGTCAGGGAGTCGCCATGATTCTCCCACTCCAGACAGATGCAGGTTAAGATCTTCCCTGGTAAGCCACCTCGTGGGCTACACAGATTATTAAAAATGGGTTAGATCAATATGTAAGAGCTAGCCAATAAGAGGTTATAACTAATGGGCCAGGCAGTGTTTAAAAGAATACAGTTTCTGTGTAATTATTTCGGGCATAAGCTAGCCATGCGGGAGCCAGGGTGGCCGAAACACAGCCCCGCCACTCTTATTACAACACAGTCTCTGTGAGTCCCTATAAGCCCTGATTAGTTGATTCTGTGGACTGTTTTTGTTGTGGTATTCTTGACTCCTCTGGCTCCTACAACCCTTCCTCATCCTCTTCCTCGGGTTTTCCAAGCCCCACCCAATGTTTGGCTGTGGGTCTCTACATTGGCTCCTATCAGTTGTTGGATGAAGCCTCTCTGATGATGATTATACTAGGCTGTGGTCTATGAGGATAGCAGAGTATCATTAAGAATCATTTCATTGATTTATTTTCTGTTTGTGTTTGGATCTGTCCTATGTCTCTGGACTATCCGGACTCTGGTTCCTAGCCCTCCAGGCAATGTCTGGCATGACATAGGTCTCAATTTGGGCCAGTCATTGGTTGACCACTCCCAGAAGTTCTGTGCCACCTTTACCCTAGCACAGGTAGGGTAGGCAGGACTAATTGTAAGCCGAAAGTTTTGTGGCTGGGTTGATGTCCTAAACCTACACTTGAAGACTTGCCTTGTTACAGAAGATGACCAGTTCAGGTTCCATATCCCCCAATACTTGGAGTCTTCTCTAGGGTCACCCTCATAGCTTCCTAGGAGTTTTATTTGCTCTGGGTTTCTACCTCATCTCTGAAATGCCCCCCAATTCCAGTAATCTCTTCCAGTACTCTCTTTATCTACTTCCCCCCACACACTTAATCCATCCTGTTCCCATCCCCACCTGCTCCCAGTTTACTAAAAAAAAATCTGTTCTGTTTCCCCTTCCCACGGAGATCCAAGTGTACCCCCTTGAGCATACCTCTCTATGTCTGTGGATTATAGCATAATTATCCTTTATTTTACAGCTAATATCCATTTATAAGTGAGAACATACCATGCTTGTCTTTCTGCATGATGTTTTTCTAGTTCCATCCATTTGCCTGAAATTTCATGTCATTTTTAACAACTGAGTAATACTTCATTGTGTAACTACATTCTCCCCTTCCACAATTTATTTATCCATTCTTCAGTTGAAGGACATGTAGGTTGCTTCCAGTTTCTGGCTATCATGAATAAAGTTGCTGTGGACATAGTTGAGCATGTGTCCTTGTTGTAGGATGGCATGTCCTTTGGGTATATGCTCAGGAGTGGTATAGCTGAGTCTTGAGGTAGTTCGACTCTCAATTTTCTGAGGAAACTTGATATTGATTCCCGTAGTGGCTGTACAAATTGGCTCTCCTGTCAGCACTGGAGGAGTGTTCCCCTTGCTCCACATCCTTGTCAGCATGAGCTGTCACTTGTGGCTTTGATCTTAGTCATTTTGACAGCTATAAGTTGGACTCTCAAAGTCATTTTGATATTCTATCTTCTACTTGATCAGTTATGTTTGTAAGGTTTCCCCCCTGTGTTTTGTAATTGGGTTATTGAGTTTTTCAAGTCAATCTTAATTTCAGCTTCTATTTCTTTAATGAATTCAGTTTTTAAATCCTGGAATTTCTTCATCAGTTCATTCAGCTGTATGTTTATGTTTTTAGACATCATTTAAGCATTTATTCCTGTACTCTATATATTCATTGGGGCTTTTGTTCATGTCTTCTTTAAATTCCTTGAATTCTTGATGACATTTATGATTGTTCTTTTAAATTATGTGTCCTGGTGTTTCTTGGGGTGATTCTCAGTGGAGTACATTTACATTTCTATAAGACTAGTAGCTTACAGAGGGGAAGGAGAAGAGCAATATAGTCTTGGCCTTTCATATGGTTCATGTTTTTGCGATGTGCCTGGGTATGTGGACTTGTTTCATTGGTTGCGTGCATGTCTGGTATCAGGTTCTAGTTTACCTGAGACTGGACTGGTGCAGGAGCTGCATACCTGTAGCTAGGCCTGAGACGATGGGGCGACACTGGCAGCTGAGGTACTGAGGAGGTCACCAAGCAAGGCAGGTGCAGGAACTCCATATCTAGGGCTGCAGCCAGGCTCAGGAAAGCAGATAGCTCAGGAAGGGGTTCATTCTTGGAGAACTCAACAGGAAACACTAGTGCAAAAGTTGCAGAGTTGGAGCTAAGCCTGAGAGTGTGGGAATGGTGCTGGAGGAAGAGGTTCTGGAAAGCTCATCAGGCAGAGTAGGTGTGTGACCTGTGCATCAAGGATTAGGTCTGAGTGTGTGGGGATGGTGTGGGCAGTCTTGGTTTTCTACTGAATTTTAACTGTCTTGGTCATGTACAGCTATTGTGCAGAAACCAGAGGTGCTGTGTCCTTGAGTCCATGTCACATCCAGAAGACTGACAGCATTTCACAGTGTTCCTTCCCTCCCTCCACCTCATACATTGTTTTTGGCCCCTCTTCTGCAATGCATCCTTAGCCTTCTGTTGGGGGAGGATTGATATAGCTACCCATTTAGAGTTGAACACTTACACTTAATGAATATCTCTGCATTAACCACTGCTCATTTCCAAATGAAGCTTCTCTGAACCAAGATTATGAACAACATGAATCTATGGGTACAAACATAAATATGTAGAGGGCAGTTTGACTCCATAACCATTTATTAACATAACAATATCAGGTTCTATCCTAGAATCTGTGACCTCCTTGACATGGATTTTCATTAAGTTCACAGTACTGAGCAAGAAATCCCTCCTGTGGAGTAAACCATGAATGCAATCAGGAATCAATCAGTTAGTCCTATAACTAACTGTCCTGCCACTATTGCACCTTGCCTGGTAGTATTGTCTGCAGTATTGTAGCATGTAGGGTTCAACACTGGATATGGCCATTGATGTCTTTTTCCCCCAGCAGCCTGCATAGCACCTTTTAACACTGAAATCCATCCAACAGAGAGAGTTTCCTGGTCAGTTCAAGATCGATTTATCTGATTAGGTCAGTGTGACAAATGTATCAGGGACTAGTCATGTCTAATTCCTATTACAGTTATTGCTAATATAAAGAAAGCCCAACTTTCACAATCACCGCCTTAAAGAAAAACATCACATGTTGGATTCTTTTGAAATACAAAAATAAAACGTTTTTTCGAGGCAGGTTTTCTCTGTATAACAGTCCTGGCTGTCCTGGAACTCACTCTGTAGACCAGACTGGCCTCAAACTCAGAAAGATCCCCCTGCCTCCCCTCGAGTGCTGGGATTAGAGGCGTGTGCCACCACTGTCTGGTTTAGGAATAGAGTTTTAATAGCTAGTTACGATATGCAGCGAAGAACACAGCAATTGCTTCTGTTGTTTTACGTGCCTCTGGGGCAGTGGTTCTCAACCTTCCTAATGCTGTGGCCCTTTAATACAGTTCCTCATGCTGTGGTGACTCCCAACCATAAAATTATTTCATTGCTACTTAATAACTGTAATTTTGCTATTGTTATTAAGTGTAATGTAAATATCTAATATTCAGGATATCAGATATATAACGCCTGTGAAAGAGTCGTTTGACCCACAGGTTGAGAAACGCTGCTTTGGGGTCTCTTTGATCAATAACACATAGTGCTTGGCACTGGGAATTTCATTTAATGACCCATTCTTCTGAGAACAGAAGCAGTGTCCACCCATACAGGGCACCTCTGTTCAAACTCCTTTGTTTTAAAATTATATTTTAAAATTTGCTTGCACACTGGTAGTTTTCCTTAAGGCTTCTTTATACAGCCTTAGTTTAGATTGACCTGTCACCTAATCACTCCCACCAATCCCCAGATATTTTTATGTCTTATGTTGAGCAAATAAGTTTTTATTTATTCCAAGTAAGAATAAAAGTAAAATGACTTTTGGCTCAGACACCTGGTTGGTTTCGCAGGGACAGAAGTATGCTTTAGCTTGGGGCAGTGGCGAGTCCTGTAAAAGGTGCTCATCTCAGTTCCCCACCCCCCAGGAACTCCATAAAGCATTGAGAGAAAAACAAGGAAGAGGCACCAAGAGCCCTCTCTTCAGTCTGTTGCTAGGCTACCTGACCCCTCTCCAGCTGCTGTACTATAAGTCCTCCTCCCTTTCCACCCGGCTTCTGAAAAGAAGGGGGAACTGAAGCACAGCCTAAGTGGAGTGCTGGGAGGGACAGGAACTGTCCAGCTCCCTGTTGGAGTGCAGGAGCACTCAGTATCCCTCCGCTGCTTCCTCTTGCTCCCCAACTCCAGACATCCTTTCTTATAGCCCCCCACTCCAAAGCCCTCATAGACCCTAGCTCTCAGGCATCCCCCACCCTGGAGTGGCACCAGAAAAGTGGTGGTGGTCTCTGGTTAGGGTGAGCAGGGGGCTGCAGGAGCTCACTGTGCGACCCACCCCCTCCCCAGGGGAGCTGGGCTGCGTGCTGCCCCGCCCTCTCGGAGTCGGAACTACGGTGGGCCAGGGAGGGGGCGTCGAGCCCGTGCACCGTGTCCCTCCGCCCCCTTCCCGACACCCTCGAGGCGAGCTGTGCCTGCCGCATCCTGCACTACAGCCCCTGCCCGTTTGCTGCAGAGGCGTCGGGGCGGGACGCGTCTCTGCCATTCCACTCGCGCGCAAAGCGCCGAGAGCCCAGAGAGAGAGGAGCTGCGGAGGACTGAGCACAGCCGAGAGCAGACGAGCAGACGGGGGACGCGGCGAAGCCCGCAGACCTGGGCCGTGCGCCTGGCCAGGCAAGTGGGGGTGTGTCGAGGGCTCGGGGCGGCCGCGCTCTGCGGACCACCGCCCGGCCCTGACAGTGCAGTGGGGGCGAGCGGGTCGCGGGGGCTCCCCGGAGTGGTGCGCGGTTCCCGGAGATCCTAGGCGGGAGGAGGAAGCGGGAACCCCGCTCGGGCTGAGGACCAAGGGGGCGGCTGGAGCGGCTTGCTGTGAGGGTCTGTTGGCCTGTGGAGCAGATGGCCAGGAAGCAGGCTTTTCCCCACCCTTTTTGGTGTCTGGGCCCTGGGAGGGTTGTGGGGGAGGCGCCTGTGGGAGAAATGGCGGCAGGCTCGGGAGCTGGGAAGTGTGGTGCCCCTAGGAGGTCACTGTCCTTGGGTTGGGGGCAGGTGTCCAACTCTGGGGATAGCTTAGCTCTGGGTGGTGAATTGCCTTGCTACTTGGGCCTTATCCCAGAAAGAGGCCCTTGTGTCCTACATCGTGGGTGCTGTCACTTCCCACAGGCTCCTGCTTGGTGACAAAGTCTCCAGTCTGAGTGGTAGGAGTGGTGCATTCTGGGGAAGGGGAAATATAATTAGAGTGGCAATAATGAAGGCAGCAGAACGTAAGAATGAAATGTTCGTCTGCCTTCAATACAGGAGTGATTGTTTCATTCCCTTCTATATGTAGAATCTTGGGCTTAATTTATTGTAAGCAAGTGTTCATAATAAAGAATTGGTCACATTGCAGAACTCCTGGCTATATAAATATTATGATATTTATCCTATCTTACATTCAGGATCCATTTTCTCAACATTCTATTTTACTTTGACCATTTTTGGTATGTTTGAATGGGAGTTAAAGTAAAGGAAAAGTTTTTGTGCAGATGGGTGTTCAATTTAAAATATTTGAAATCACAACAGGATTTAAGTATCTGTTTATGGGGCCCCGTATATCATCTTCAGCTACTTTTTCTAGTCCCTCATATTTTTTGTATAGAAGCCGTATCCAAGAAAATGTGCTGTTTCTGAAGGTGGGGCCTCTGGTCACACATGAGAATTGATAGAGTTCATTCACTGGGTTTCTGACTCTCTAAAAGAGGGTGTTTGAACTTGGGTTCTGGAATTCTGCCCCAAATCATTTCATACCATGGTCATTATTCTTTTTTTGTATATTTTTCTCATTATCTTTTGGTTTCTATAGGTTGGCTCTTCTCTAGCTAGAGAACTCTTTTTTGGTGGGAAGGATAACATCTCCTGAGTATCCTGCTTTGTGATGAGTCTGGTATTGGTAGCACATGAGGTAAGATCTAGTCATATGTGGGGAGGCTGGTATTTCAAATATGGTCCTGAAATTATTGGACTCGTTAGCCTCCCTGCCTTCTTCCCAAATATGACTGCGTATATTCCACTCTCTTTCTATACCATGTATTTTCCTTCAAGAAAGAAATTCGGTCCCTGAATGCGAAAATTCCTGATGTCAGGGTTAGGAAGATATATATTCAGAAAGGTCACAGGTCTTGAGCACACCTGGGGAATAATTGGGGAAGGGCTGACTTGTAGGAGACATTAGCAACCTTGAGCATAAACCTTGTCAGGGGTGTTCTGTCTTTTCAATCTCATTAGCAATATTTGGTTGTTTCTGATGTTGCCTTTTTATCTATAAGCCTCTTTCTTCCTAGGTTTCTGTAGAGCAATGTTTCTGAAACTGGGTTGCGATCCCTTTGGGGGTTGAATGACTCTTTCCACAGGGGTCACATATCAAATATCCTGCAGATCAAAGACTTACATTAGGATTCATAACAGTAGCAAAATTATGGCTATGAAGAAGCAAAGAAATAATTTTATGGTAGGGGGTCACCACAACATGAACTGTATTAAAGGGTCGCAGCATTAGGAAGGTTGAGAATCACTGCTGTAGAGACTTGTGGGTAGCTGTTCACTTAGAAGTTAAAAGAGAGAACAAAGCCTCCTTAGGTTTTGAGGTAAGTATGAATGTGAGCATGAAACACACTTGTCAGTCGGTGGTAGAGGTGGCTGTTGGCAAGATTTTACCTTGGACCCATTGGGTTCTAACTTTCCAAATGCCGCTGCCCTCGTTTATTACTTAGTGGGAGGACAGTGAGCCAAGCTTGGGTCAATAGGTATTTAGTAGATACTGGGTCAGAAACGGGAGAGAATCCATAAGAGAGAACAGTGTACGGGGGAGTGTTACAATACCTGGAGATACAATTTTAGGTCAGTCTGTCGGATACTCAGAATTCTAATCGCACTCGTATTTTTCTCTATAGATCTGCCCGTGAAGTCAGTTGGACAGCTTTGCAACTGTGGAAGTGAGGAAGAAGGGAACATCACATCACATCAGGGCAGGTTGGTATTAGGCCTTTCTGACGACGTAGAAATTCCTGATGGTATGCACCAGTATGGGACCACAGGGGTCTGTGCTCTCTAGCCTCTCCTACTCTAAGCAGTCTTACATACTCTCACTGCTGTGTTTGATGGAGACAAAAGAATGGTAGTACTTGGGCTGGACGCAACTATGAAAGAAATACAATGAGATAGCAGAGTTTTCTACTAATCCACATCTCCTGCCACACAGTCCAAATCTCCATTCATGTCCTCTGTGCAGCGATCTGTATAAAGAACCAAAGTTGAGGACACTCAAAGTCTATTTCTTTTTCCCACCTTAGGTGTCTCTCCAGTGGTAGCCTTGGATTGGCGGAAAATTGCTTTCAACGGGTCTGCCTTTGGAAATCATCATCTTCCCCCCTAACCTGAGTGTCTTTACTCTGTCCCTGTTATTGATAGAGGCTGTATGTCAAAAAAGGGAATTTTGTAACTACTGAACAGACAGTTGTCTTTGACTCTGCTAAGTTCCTCTCTGACCAAGTTAAAAAGGACTAAGCAGAGGACTTAAGGTGGAAATTGGACAGGTGTCTATAGCCGTGTTTCAATCATGACTGGCTCAAAGAATAAAGCTAGAGCTCAGGCTAAACTAGAAAAAAAAGCAAGTGCACAAGCCAAAGCTATAGCAGAGAGGGAGGCTAGTCATGCAGGCAGAGCTTCAGGCAAAAACCGGGACAAAGGAAAAGCTAAGGGAGGAGCAAAAGCAGATGCAGTGGCTGAGATGAAGGCGGGGTCTAAGAGCAAGACTGAGATGAGAGAAGGGGCTAAGGGCCTAGGAAAAGGCTCGTCTGATTTCAGCCATAAGTCTGAGAACAAGGCTGCTAGATCTACACGGAAAGAGAAGGCTAGTAGTGATACCTGGTTCTGGGCTGGGGAAGATTCTGGTCTCAATTCCTTGTTCTGGAAGGGAGAAGAGCTTAGTACTAATTCAGTTGCTAAGTGTGAAAATAAAACTTACACTGTTCCTCAGAGCCGTCCAGAGGAGTCAGAGCCTGCACCTAGGACCAGCCACAGGTCTAAGTCAGGGCCTGAGGAGGAGGAGGAAGAGAATGTTATTGGGAACTGGTTTTGGGAAGGAGATGACACTGGTTTTGATCCTGATCCTAAACCTGTGTTCAGAATAGTTAAACCTCAACCAGTGGATGAAATTAATGAAAAGAATAGGCCGAAGGACTGGTCTGAGGTTACCATTTGGCCTAAAGCTCCTGCTGTAATTCCAGCAGTGTTAGGTTTTATATCTAAGGATTCTTCTGAGGCAAGGCCCTCATCATATATTGTTCTGGCCTCAAATGAAGAAGAAACTTCAACAACAGCCTGCACTAAGAATGCTCGATCAAATCTACAGCCTATACCTGAGTATCCATTTGGTTCTGATCCTTGCATCCAGACCTTAGATGAAATTAAACAGCAAATCAAGATCAGAGAAACTAATGGCATCAAGCCCTTTGCTTGCGCTTGCAAAATGGAGTGCTATTTAGATTCTCCAGAATTTGAAAAGCTTGTTAACATACTCAAGTCAACTACCGATCCCCTCATTCATAAAATAGCACAGATAGCAATGGGCATACATAAAGTTCATCCGTTTGCCCGGGAATTCATTAATGAAGTGGGTGTGGTGACACTTATTGAAAGCTTGCTCAGTTTTTCTTCCCCTGAGAGTAGAAATAAAACTGTTATTACTCTGAATTCTTCTGGGAATGACAGACAACACAAAGTGGAATTTCATGTTAGGCATATGTGTAAAGAAACTGTGTCTTTCCCCTTGAACTCACCGGGTCAGCAGTCTGGATTAAAGATAATAGGGCAGCTGACTACCGAGTCTGTCCATCACTACATTGTCGTGAGTTACTTTTCAGAACTTTTCCATTTGCTGTCCCAGGGAAATCGTAAGACTAGAAATCTTGTTTTGAAAGTATTTTTGAATATGTCTGAAAATCCAAAGGCAGCCAGAGATATGATCAATATGAAGGCATTAGCAGCATTAAAACTCATCTTTAACCAAAAAGAGGCGAAAGCAAATCTTGTTAGTGCTGTGGCCATCTTTATTAACATAAAGGAGCATATTAGAAAGGGCTCAATTGTAGTAGCTGATCACATGAGTTACAATACTCTTACTGCCATATTCCGTGAAGTTAAATGCATTATTGAAAGAATGTAAAATGACCCAGAAACCAAAGAGAACACTGAACAGTGTCCAAATTCTGATTGGCTAAACATTCCCAAAGAGTTTTGCAAACTATTTTGGTAATAACTGCTTACACATTTTGTCTTAACATCTTTTTTCAAATTATTACCTGTGGCAGGTTCTAGCTGAAATCTAAAACATTTTTGGCGTATCAAATGAATATTAAATATTGAGATAAGCAGGTTTATTGATTTCTATCTTACCGAGATTAGCAAATTTTTAACATTTTCTGACAGCTGAAATTGTGATCCAGCTGTCTGAAGTACAGTGTCTTGATGATTGATATCTGCTTAGATCTGTTTGTGGCTCCAGATAGCAAAAAAGAAACTACTGGTCTTGTAATCTAGTTATAGAAATAAGGTGTATGAAAATAAAGATACTTGATGGTACCTACATTGTGTGCTTGTATACATGATATATACATACATATATATAAATACCTATTTCC